GCAGTTTTGCAGATAATTTATTCTAAATAAGAAAACAAGAAAAACTTTAAGAACAGGGATAAGCAGTCACTTATCATACTCTCTAAAAATATCAATGACGTATTTTAATAAAAAGTGCTTTTTTTCCAGAAATTCCAGTGAAAAATGATAAAAATGAGGGAAACCCAAAATATTTGTATATGATTCAACTGTTAATTAACCAATCTAATTATAATTGTAGAATTCTGAAATTTAGAACAAATCTTTATATGAGCATGCTAAACATTGTGATGCGCTTTCTGATGGGGTTGGCACAGTCTGTTTTTTTTTATTAGCATATCTACTGAATCTGGCAGAGTTTTTAGTGTTTTGTGGTACATATATATATATAGTAAGGGAAATAACTCAACAATTATAGACTAGAAAACACATGTAATGAATTTAATCTAGTTAAAGAATTATTTCCTTTCCTTTGTTCCTTGTTCAATATATTTGATTTATTATTTTAATTTTTTTTTAATAAAATGATATATTAAGAACTATTTGAAATGAGGAAATTTTTTATAAGAAATTTATGCTTTTGTCGAGGTGAAAGAGGTTCTACTTAGATGGATTTTCCAAACTTTTTCATTAAGGGCAAATTACGTGAGGAAATTTCCTCTAACAGAAGTAATATCTTGGAAAAGTTTTCTCATTACTGAAACTGAAAAAGAACATAGTTTTGTTTAAGTAATACATCTTCAATATATATCAATAGTTGGTGCTTCTGTTTTGACATGATTTAATATAACATACTTTTATTAAATTCTCAGTTTAGAAATTATTTAGAAATTATTAGGTTACAACTCCTTCAGACAAAATTGACCTTAGATTGATTTGGCTTTCCTTTTTCAGTCTGCTTTTGTCTACTAACGTGTATTTATCATCCCTGGTTTTCAAAGTTTAGGGTTTGGGTATTCTTTGAATGTTTAATTGTTCATTAGTACATGACATATTTATATTTGAAAATAGGGAGATGTTATATGATTGCCAATTAGAAAACTATCCACCTGAGTTCGTTTCATTTGATATTGCTTACTTTGTTAATAAAAGGATATCATATCAGGGTTGGATATTTAAGTTATAGCTGAAAAGTAAAATAACAAAAATACCAAACTCCAAGGAAAATCTAAAACGGAAAGTCCTTTATCAAATGGCAAAATTAAAAGCTCAAACACATCAAACAAATGGAAAACAATTGTCATATTCCTGACTTGGTACAAGCATTTCTTTATGTAGAAAATGGTGGATTAAACCTGGTTTTATAGCTAGCTAAACCTCATACTTGAAAGTCATTCTCGGGCAAGTAAAGCTTGTTAAAAGTTAAAAGTGAAAATTGAAAACATTGAAAAATACAGAATCTAGCCTCACTTTCAGCACTGATAATATCATTTAAATCACTTGTTTTAAGTATACCCTGTATTTTTCCTTTATAACAATGGCCGATTCAATAATATTGGCCAGTCAGAGTGCAATTCAGTTTTTGATAGACTGATCATATGAGACCTAACTATTTTATAAAAACTGTTGAAGAATGCTAGACACAATAATATAAAACCAAATCACTTTAATTGATAAAATTTACTCTTTTCTTAGGTTTTTCCTAAAATTGTAAATTTAGAGAAGAGGCAAATCAAGGGAGCATGAGATGCTGAACTTTCTGGAGCACCAGATAGGCTCCCTTTTCTTAAAACATGTATAGACCTATCTGAAACCCCTGATAGTTTCCCTTTTCTTAAAACATGTATAGATCTTTCTGGAGCACCTGCTAGTTTCCCATTTCTTAAAAAATGTATAAACCTTTCTGGAGCACCTGCTAGTTTCCCTTTTCTTAAACATGTACAAACCTTTCTGGAGCACCTGCTAGTTTTCCCTTTCCTAAAACATGTATAAACCTTTCTAGAGCACCGGATAGTTTCCCTTTTCTTAAAACATGTATAAACCTTTATAGAGCACCTGATAGTTTCCTTTTTCCTAAAACATGTATAAACCTTTCTAGATCTCTGGATAGTTTCCTTTTTTCTAAATCATGTATAAACCTTTCTAGAGCACTAGATAGTTTCCCTTTTCTTAAAACATGTATAGACCTTTCTAGAGCACCAGATAGTTTCTCTTTTCCTAAAACATGTATAAACCTTTCTAGAGCTGTGGATAATTTCCTTTTTCCTAAAACATGTATAAACCTTTCTGGAGCACTGGATAGTTTCCCTTTTCTTAAAACATGTATAGACCTTTCTGGAGCACCAGATAGTTTCCCTTTTCTTAAAACATGTATAGACCTTTCTGGCGCCACAGATAGTTTCCCTTTTATTAAAACATGTATAGACTTTTCTGGAGCACCTGCTACTTTCCCTTTTCTTAAAACATGTATAAACCTTTCTGGAGCACTGGATAGTTTCCCTTTTCTTAAAACAATGTATAAACCTTTATGGAGACACTGGATAGTTTTCCTTTTCCTAAAACATGTATAGACCTTTTTGCAGCACCAGATAGTTTCCCTTTTCATAAAACATGTATGGACCTTTCTGGAGCACCAGATAGTTTCCTTTTTCGTAAAACATGTATAAACCTTTCTAGAGCACCAGATAGTTTCCCTTTTCCTAAATTATGTATAGACCTTTCTAGAGCACTGGGTAGTTTCCCTTTTCTTAAAACATGTATAAACCTTTCTAGAGCACCAGATAGTTTCCCTTTTCCTAAATTATGTATAGACCTTTCTAGAGCACTGGGTAGTTTCCCTTTTCCTAAATTATGTATAAACCTTTCTAGAGCTCTGGATAGTTTCCCTTTTCCTAAAACATGTATAAACCTTTCTAGAGCACTGGGTAGTTTCCCTTTTCTTAAAACATGTATAAACCTTTCTAGAGCACCTGCTACTTTCCCTTTTCTTAAAACATGTATAGACCTTTCTGGAGCACCAGATAGTTTCCCTTTTCTTAAAACATGTATAAACCTTTATGGAGCACCTGATAGTTTCCTTTTTCCTAAAACATGTATAAACCTTTCTAGAGCACTGGATAGTTTCCCTTTTCTTAAAACATGTATAGACCTTTCTGGAGCACCAGATAGTTTCCCTTTTCTTAAAACATGTATAAACCTTTCAAGAGCACTGGATAGTTTCCCTTTTCCTAAAACATGTATAAACCTTTCTAGAGCACTTGATAATTTCCCTTTTCTTAAAACATGTATAAACCTTTATGGAGCACTGGATAGTTTCCCTTTTCTTAAAACATGTATAAACCTTTATGGAGTACCAGATAGTTTCCTTTTTCTTAAAACATGTATAAACCTTTCTAGAGCACCAGATAGTTTCCCTTTTCCTAAAACATGTATAGACCTTTCTGGAGCACCTGATAGTTTCCTTTTTTCCTAAAACATGTATAGACCTTCATGGAGCACCAGATAGTTTCCCTTTTCTTAAAACATGTATAAACCTTTCTGGAGCACTGGATAGTTTCCCTTTTCTTAAAACATGTATAAACCTTTCTGGAGCACTGGATAGTTTCCCTTTTCTTAAAACATGTATAAACCTTTCTGGAGCACCAGATAGTTTCCTTTTTCTTAAAACATGTATAAACCTTTCTAGAGCTCTGGATAGTTTCCTTTTTCCTAAAACATGTATAAACCTTTCTAGAGCACCGGATAGTTTCTCTTTTCTTAAAACATGTATAGATCTTCATGGAGCACCTGCTAGATTCCCTTTTCTTAAAACATGTATAGACCTTTCTAGAGCACTGGATAGTTTCCCTTTTCTTAAAACATGTATAAACCTTTATGGAGCACCTGATAGTTTCCCTTTTCTTAAAACATGTATAAACCTTTCTAGTGCAACGGATAGTTTTCCTTTTCCTTAAACATGTATAGACCTTTCTGGAGCACCATTGATAATGCTAAAGTAGCTAACTTACTGGAAGTGTTTAACGATCTTGACTGGATGTACATCCCTCGCACGGTTGGTTAAAGTAGCTAGGGTGTCTTCCTCCATCTTGTATTTTGAAATGGCAGATAACAATTGGTCTAGATCTTTAATGAAATGAGCAAATTTCGAGAGTAGTATGTAATTCATGTGTAAGACTTTTCATGTTTATATAGAAAATTATGAGTTTTATCATATTTACGGCTGTATTTTACAAAAAAACTATAGTTTTGCTTGATTCATTTTTTTTCAACTTTGCCACATAAGGGTAGATAACTCAGATATAAGGGGAGGTAACTCAGAGAAAGTAACTTTTATAATAGAATGTGTTGTGAATTTACCTATATATTATGTAGCAAGAAAACGAGTCCAGTGACCCCATTTTTTCTTTTTCTCATCTGAAAGCATATTTTTACAGCTATCTTCTCATATTTTATCTTTAAATTCTATGGTGTAGTTTTCTTTTTATCACACAAAATTTGGTTTTCCATGAATAATCTATACAAAATCTGACAATTTTGCACAACCTGTAGCATGAAAATAAGCCCAGTGACCCATACTTTTTACTGTATTTTTGAAAATGCATGATATAAACTACATTTTGATAAATTATTAAAAAATTCTATGGATTGTAATTTAGACCCCCCCATCTACCTTAAGTTTTTTTTAAGTTTGGTCCTTATATCAGATACTATATGCAATAGGGCAACTATGTTTTGTGTATGGAATGATTGTATGGTGAGCACATCTGTCTGGCAAGGTTCATCTCACCTTGACGTTATTTTCATGGTTCATTGGTCAAATGTTAAGTTTTCCTGATTAAGTTTGTTTCTCAGAATCAATCAATTAAAGGCCAATTATATTTGATGTATAGAATGATTTTAAGTTGTACATGCCTTGACCTGATTTACATGGATCATGGTAATGATAAGTTTATGTGATTTTTGTCTAAAAGACATAAAATCAATCATGATCCCTAAAGCAGCCGAAACATTTCAGCATGTGCACTCTTGTTTCCATAACAAATGACTACATCAAAAGAATGAGTATTATCTTTCAATTTCAGGGAATATAGATAAATTGAATGGTTTAGGTGATGTGTCTCCTGTAGATGTATACTCACTCAAGGAATTATCTAAGAACTGGCGTGTACTCAAAGGACCACCTGTTGTCGTCAAAGTATTAAGTAAAAAAAGAATTCTACATTATGCCAAACCATTTAAGAATGACAAGTGGCCCTTGCAGGTAATTAAAAGAAAATTATATAGTGCATAATTTCATGACAAAAAATTACTATATACACTTGAAATAGCAAAAAAAAACAAAGGAATAGGGCTTTTATTGGTGTTCTTCATCTCAAAGTTATGGGGAGAACTACAACATTGAGCAAACACCTTGCTGCAAGTTCAAGCAAATGCTATCATCAATTTCCCAACAATCTCACAGCAAAATACAGAAACAATACAAACATTAAGACTTAAAGACAACTAGAGGGCACATCAAGATATATGTTAGATAACTTGACAGTAATAATGCCTGATTACACCAAATATTGATTGACGACTGAATAACAATAACAATAAATTAGAGCTTGCTAAATGGGTTAGAATGTTGACGATTTAGAACTTGCTTTATGGTTTATACATTTTTTTTTTATTATGGGTAACATGGAACTATTTTTTAGGGTTTGGACATATTTAGATTATGGGTGATTTACAACTTGCTAGACTATCAGTGATTTAAAGCTTGCCATATAGTTGGACATGTGTGATTTAGAGCTTTTTATATGGTTTGGACAGATTTTGATTATGGGTGATTTAGAGCTTTTACATGGTTTGGACATGTTTAGACTATAGGTGATTTAGAGCTTGTAATGTGGTTTGGACAGATTTAGATTATGGATGATTTAGAGCTTTTTATATCGTTTGGACATGTTTAGACTATTGGTGATTTAGAGCTTGTAATGTGGTTTGGACAGATTTAGATTATGGATGATTTAGAGCTTTTTATATCGTTTGGACAATGTTTTGACTATGGGTGATTTAGAGCTTTTTATATCGTTAGGACATGTTTTGACTATGGGTGATTTAAAGCTTGCCATGTTTTGACAATGGGTGATTTAGAGCTTCCTATTTGGTTTGGTCATGTTTAACTATGGGTGATTCATAGCTAGCCATGTTTTGACTATGGGTGATTTAGAGCTTTCTTTATCATTTAGACATGTGTTAACTATGGGTGATTTAAAGCTTGCCATAAGGTTTGGTCATGTTTTAACTATGGCTGATTTAAATCTTGCCTTATTTTAACTATGGGTGATTAAGAGCTTCCCATTTGGTTTGGACATGTTTTGACTTAGAGTTTGGTGTATAGTTGGGAGATATTTTGACTATGGGTGATTTAGAGTTTGGTGTATAGTTGGGAGATATTTTGACTATGGGTGATTTAGAGTTTGGTGTATAGTTGGGAGATATTTTGACTATCGGTGATTTAGAGTTTGGTGTATAGTTGGGAGATATTTTGACTATGGCTGATTTAGAGTTTGGTGTATAGTTGGGAGATATTTTGACTATGGCTGATTTAGAGCTTGCTGTATAGTTGGGAGATATTTTTACTATAGCTGATTTAGAGCTTGCTGTATAGTTGGGAGATAATTTGACTATGGGTGATTTAGAGCTTGCTGTATAGTTGGGAGATATTTTGACTATAGGTAATTTATAGTTTGGTGCAAGGATCTGGAAATTTTTCCACACAATTTCGGTCATTTTGAGATGATTGAAAAGTTGGTGCCCCTTTCCAAATTGTTGATGTCAACTTGACTAGATTCATAGCATCAACGAACTTGTATTGCTGTTTCATTGCATTTACTAAGTAAATGTCTTACCATTACCATGAAGAACAGTTTAGGGAAGGCAATAGTTTAAAATTGAAATTACTTTAATGACTCAAAATGGTAAATCCCTCAGTCATTGCTTACCTTACGTTTTCGATTTCACAAAAGTTAAAATCGGAATTTTGCAATAAAGTTAAAGTACGAATAATTCCGGATTCATTTCCGGGATTTGATTTGTTTATCAAATTGACAGGAAATCACCGACTTTTTTATGTTATTACCTATTAAGTGTTTGAATGTAACAGATAATAGTTGCACTCGTTAATTTCTGAATATGGTTTAAATACAACTAATGTTCTCCAGCTGAGCCTAGCAATATTCAAGGTTACTTTATACACTGTCCAACAGTGCCCTTAAAATCTGGGTTATAACGCTAAAGTGCCCTTTCAGACAACTAGCACCCTTCTGCCCTGAGATTCAAGCTGGAACACTGAGTAAGGTTAAAGTTTTTTTGGGGTCAACAGAATTTTACAACTGAAAAGAGAGAATAAAAATAAAATGTTTTCAATCTTTATTGACTAGATTTAAATGTCATACATATGGAGGTATAGTCCCCAATGACTTTGAAGGTATGGGACTAAAGAAGCAAAAACTATATAACAAAAATCCAATTGGCAGGGTTCCCCCCAAAATTCTAGGCTCCCTTTTTATCTTTAAACCCAGTTTGAATTAAAAAAAAAAGCAAAGAGGAGTTGGATAACTGATGGACTTACAGACAGAGTGCATAGCTATAGTCCCTTTGGGATTGCAGTTATGGGACTAAAATAGGTTGAAAAAAAAAGAGGAGACAGTATATAACAGGTTGCAATAATATAAGCGTTATTTTTTCAGGCACATTTGACAGTATGTGACAGATCAGGTTCTGCTACACTAGTATTCTGTTTTCAGGCACGTTTGACAGTATGTGACAGATCAGGCTGTGCTACACTAGTATTCTGTTTTCAGGCACATTTGACAGTATGTGACAGATCAGGTTGTGCTGCACAAGTATTCTGTTTACAGGCACATTTGACAGTATGTGACAGATCAGGTTGTGCTACACTAGTATTGTGTTTTCAGGCACATTTGACAGTATGTGACAGATCAGGTTGTGCTGCACAAGTATTCTGTTTACAGGCACATTTGACAGTATGTGACAGATCAGGTTGTGCTGCACAAGTATTCTGTTTACAGGCACATTTGACAGTATGTGACAGATCAGGTTGTGCTACACTAGTATTGTGTTTTCAGGCACATTTGACAGTATGTGACAGATCAGGTTGTGCTACACTAGTATTCTGTTTACAGGCACATTTGACAGTATGTGACAGATCAGGTTGTGCTACACTAGTATTCTGTTTTCAGGCACATTTGACAGTATGTGACAGATCAGGCTGTGCTACACTAGTATTCTGTTTACAGGCACGTTTGACAGTATGTGACAGATCAGGCTGTGCTACACTAGTATTCTGTTTACAGGCACATTTGACAGTATGTGACAGATCAGGTTGTGCTACACTAGTATTCTGTTTACAGGCACATTTGACAGTATGTGACAGATCAGGTTGTGCTACACTAGTATTCTGTTTACAGGCACATTTGACAGTATGTGACAGATCAGGTTGTGCTACACTAGTATTGTGTTTACAGGCACATTTGACAGTATGTGACAGATCAGGTTGTGCTACACTAGTATTCTGTTTACAGGCACATTTGACAGTATGTGACAGATCAGGTTGTGCTACACTAGTATTCTGTTTACAGGCACGTTTGACAGTATGTGACAGATCAGGCTGTGCTACACTAGTATTCTGTTTACAGGCACATTTGACAGTATGTGACAGATCAGGTTGTGCTACACTAGTATTGTGTTTACAGGCACATTTGACAGTATGTGACAGATCAGGTTGTGCTACACTAGTATTCTGTTTACAGGCACATTTGACAGTATGTGACAGATCAGGTTGTGCTACACTAGTATTCTGTTTACAGGCACATTTGACAGTATGTGACAGATCAGGTTGTGCTACACTAGTATTCTGTTTACAGGCACATTTGACAGTATGTGACAGATCAGGTTGTGCTACACTAGTATTCTGTTTTCAGGCACGTTTGACAGTATGTGACAGATCAGGCTGTGCTACACTAGTATTGTGTTTACAGGCACATTTGACAGTATGTGACAGATCAGGTTGTGCTACACTAGTATTCTGTTTACAGGCACATTTGACAGTATGTGACAGATCAGGTTGTGCTACACTAGTATTCTGTTTACAGGCACATTTGACAGTATGTGACAGATCAGGTTGTGCTACAATAGTATTCTGTTTACAGGCACATTTGACAGTATGTGACAGATCAGGTTGTGCTACACTAGTATTCTGTTTTCAGGCACGTTTGACAGTATGTGACAGATCAGGTTGTGCTACACTAGTATTCTGTTTACAGGCACGTTTGACAGTATGTGACAGATCAGGCTGTGCTACACTAGTATTGTGTTTTCAGGCACATTTGACAGTATGCGACAGATCACGATGTGCTACACTAGTATTCTGTTTACAGGCACATTTGACAGTATGTGACAGATCAGGTTGTGCTACACTAGTATTGTGTTTTCAGGCACATTTGACAGTATGTGACAGATCAGGTTGTGCTACACTAGTATTGTGTTTTCAGGCACATTTGACAGTATGTGACAGATCAGGTTGTGCTACACTAGTATTCTGTTTTCAGGCACATTTGACAGTATGTGACAGATCAGGTTGTGCTACACTAGTATTCTGTTTTCAGGCACGTTTGACAGTATGTGACAGATCAGGTTGTGCTACACTAGTATTCTGTTTACAGGCACATTTGACAGTATGTGACAGATCAGGTTGTGCTACACTAGTATTGTGTTTTCAGGCACATTTGACAGTATGCGACAGATCACGATGTGCTACACTAGTATTCTGTTTACAGGCACATTTGACAGTATGCGACAGATCAGGTTGTGCTACACTAGTATTGTGTTTTCAGGCACATTTGACAGTATGTGACAGATCAGGTTGTGCTACACTAGTATTCTGTTTACAGGCACATTTGACAGTATGTGACAGATCAGGCTGTGCTACACTAGTATTCTGTTTACAGGCACATTTGACAGTATGTGACAGATCAGGTTGTGCTACACTAGTATTGTGTTTTCAGGCACATTTGACAGTATGTGACAGATCAGGTTGTGTTACACTAGTATTCTGTTTACAGGCACATTTGACAGTATGTGACAGATCAGGCTGTGCTACACTAGTATTGTGTTTTCAGGCACATTTGACAGTATGTGACAGATCAGGCTGTGCTACACTAGTATTGTGTTTACAGGCACATTTGACAGTATGTGACAGATCAGGCTGTGCTACACTAGTATTCTGTTTACAGGCACATTTGACAGTATGTGACAGATCAGGCTGTGCTACACTAGTATTCTGTTTACAGGCACATTTGACAGTATGTGACAGATCAGGCTGTGCTACACTAGTATTCTGTTTACAGGCACATTTGACAGTATGTGACAGATCACGATGTGCTACACTAGTATTGTGTTTTCAGGCACATTTGACAGTATGTGACAGATCAGGCTGTGTTACACTAGTATTCTGTTTACAGGCACATTTGACAGTATGTGACAGATCAGGCTGTGCTACACTAGTATTGTGTTTTCAGGCACATTTGACAGTATGTGACAGATCAGGCTGTGTTACACTAGTATTCTGTTTACAGGCACATTTGACAGTATGTGACAGATCAGGCTGTGCTACACTAGTATTGTGTTTTCAGGCACATTTGACAGTATGTGACAGATCAGGCTGTGTTACACTAGTATTCTGTTTACAGGCACATTTGACAGTATGTGACAGATCAGGCTGTGCTACACTAGTATTCTGTTTACAGGCACATTTGACAGTATGTGACAGATCAGGCTGTGCTACACTAGTATTGTGTTTTCAGGCACATTTGACAGTATGTGACAGATCAGGCTGTGTTACACTAGTATTCTGTTTACAGGCACATTTGACAGTATGTGACAGATCAGGTTGTGCTACACTAGTATTGTGTTTTCAGGCACATTTGACAGTATGTGACAGATCAGGTTGTGCTACACTAGTATTGTGTTTTCAGGCACATTTGACAGTATGTGACAGATCAGGCTGTGTTACACTAGTATTCTGTTTACAGGCACATTTGACAGTATGTGACAGATCAGGCTGTGCTACACTAGTATTCTGTTTACAGGCACATTTGACAGTATGTGACAGATCAGGCTGTGCTACACTAGTATTCTGTTTACAGGCACATTTGACAGTATGTGACAGATCAGGTTGTGCTACACTAGTATTCTGTTTACAGGCACATTTGACAGTATGTGACAGATCAGGTTGTGCTACACTAGTATTGTGTTTTCAGGCACATTTGACAGTATGTGACAGATCAGGCTGTGCTACACTAGTATTGTGTTTACAGGCACATTTGACAGTATGTGACAGATCAGGCTGTGCTACACTAGTATTCTGTTTACAGGCACATTTGACAGTATGTGACAGATCAGGCTGTGCTACACTAGTATTCTGTTTTCAGGCACATTTGACAGTATGTGACAGATCAGGTTGTGCTACACTAGTATTCTGTTTTCAGGCACATTTGACAGTATGTGACAGATCAGGTTGTGCTACACTAGTATTCTGTTTACAGGCACATTTGACAGTATGTGACAGATCAGGCTGTGCTACACTAGTATTCTGTTTACAGGCACATTTGACAGTATGTGACAGATCAGGTTGTGCTACACTAGTATTGTGTTTTCAGGCACATTTGACAGTATGTGACAGATCAGGTTGTGCTACACTAGTATTGTGTTTACAGGCACATTTGACAGTATGTGACAGATCAGGCTGTGCTACACTAGTATTCTGTTTACAGGCACATTTGACAGTATGTGACAGATCAGGCTGTGCTACACTAGTATTCTGTTTACAGGCACATTTGACAGTATGTGACAGATCAGGTTGTGCTACACTAGTATTGTGTTTTCAGGCACATTTGACAGTATGTGACAGATCAGGTTGTGCTACACTAGTATTGTGGAACTCTTTGTGTCCAGAGTTTTATCATAGGTTAGTGTTTTATATTACATTAGCAAAATTTTTATATATTTCTATTTTGTCTTTCTAAAGAAAAAATTACATGAAGATGATAAACAGCAGTGAGGACAGTTGTTCACAATGTATAATTTTTTTTTAAAGATAAGGCTAATTAAAATTAATATGTAGATTTTCATCCAAATTTTTTAATAATGGGGCGGGTGGGTGGATTTAATTTTTTAATTTTTTATTTCTCGAAACTCCTTTACAATAAGTTCTTCATAAGCAAGGGTAATAATAAGCTTATGTCATGTTTATGTAAGGAATTCTACATAATTTTTCAAATTCTTAAATGAATGTTTCTGATTGGCAACGATTGTTCTGCATGTAATTGCCGCTTTAGAAACCTATTTAAAGGGAAAGTCCGCGATTTTTAACTTATCATCTAAATATGTTCATCTTTACATAAAAAACACATTCACAAAGTTTTAAATTTATATTCTTTCTAATAACGGAGAAAATCAAGTATTTGTGACTTTTTTGGTTGACCTACGTCACTGGGTTGTGACGTTTTAACCCGATTTGTTGAATCATGGGAAAAAATAAAATCTGTTAAAGTCTTAATTGCTTATCAGAATTTTACGTAATTAAAAGCGCACAGATGACCGTTGGTCGTAGTTAATAACCACAATATAAGAATGAAAGAAAATGAATATGTGTGTACCGTTTTGTATTGATTGAATAAAACTTTCTATATGAAGTTATCTAAATTTAAATATTTTCGAATTAATTTCATAAATTATTGTTGAGATTTTTTCATAAAATATCTGTTGAACACTTTGACTGATATTAAACTGAAAATATTTTACGTTTTATTTACCGTTATAACTTTGGTAACCATTTCAAGGCAAAATATTTGTGAACAGAGTGTGTATATTATTTTGTAAATTCATTGTTTATTCATCGATTTATGGAGAATTCGTTTGAACTTTACCTTGCAGCAATTTAGCCTCAGGCGTACACAGGTGTGAATTCAAGCGTACACAGGTGTGAATGTTGTCATTTTGAATGGATTAACAGAAAGAGTATAGCGTGTTTAATACACCAAGCTGAAATACCCGATGAATATAGAGAAACAATAATTAAAATGTATAAATTAATTGAAAATAAACATTCAATTTTTTTAATTCCGGAAGTGTATTTTGAAATGGAACAATTTTCGATTACGCTCTATGCAATTAGCATAAAATTAAAATATGAAGTTAAAAGAAAATTAATTTAACATTTCCCAATTAATAATTGCACATCTGTTTAATTTACTTTACCGGAATTCTTTAACTTGTATTTAAATCTGGCGATGTTTAAATGCTAACAATCGAAAAACTATCGCAATTTAAAAGTTTTTATTGAAAAAATACAATAGTACAACATGCATGATTTTTTATCTTCTTTTTAAAATTTCATTCCTACATAATAAATTCAACTAACAATCTCTTAGAATAATTATTTGTGAAAAGAATGCCAATTATCATTTATTTCATTCATTATAAATCTAAGCTATTTAAATAATTGTTTATTCCGTCTGGAAATTTTTATTTTCTTTTTTTTTCTTTTGATCTGTTTTTTGTATGAGGTGTTTTAATTGTCTTTCACGGTTTGAACATATGAAAATTAAATATAATCATTTTTATATTATATCATAATTTAGTGTAATACTCTACAGGGTAGAACAGTTCTTCTCCTTGAAACAAGCTGTACTAGTACTGTAAATTCAGAAATTATTGCGTGCATTTATTATTGCGATTTTGTCATTTTAGACTAAAATGCGATTTTAATTTTTGCGATATTGAGAAAAGTCCTGTTTATTTCATATAAAAAATTTCAAAATGCGAGTTTAAATTATTGCGATTATAACCCTGTCGCATTTTTCGCAATAATAAAAACATCGCAATAATTTCTGAATTTACAGTATATTTTTCCTGAGGTATAAGCGCCGTTGAAGACGAGCTCCAGATGTTCTTTCTAAAGGACAAAGCAGACTAATAGCGTATCATCCGTTTGTTTGTTGGGTCAGGGGAGGCCAACCACTTGCCCAGAAAAACAGGATCACCATACAAGCATAGTTGTCAACACTATCGGAAAAGAGTTCCTATCGTCGGATGGATACACGAATGCTTCCAAGAATGAATAAGTGACATGTCTGACTCTGAACAGTCAGTAAACGAACTGAACAATGATCTACAGACATCGACCTCTTATTCTTGATATCATAAACTGCATGCATGTACGTTTATGAGAGCGATTATTTATCTTGTACCTGACGAAAACTTAATGCCTGCATGGTTATGTATCTTGCTATACGTTTTTATTGGTTTGGTGTGTGTTCACTCAAAATCGTAATTCAAAGATAATGTTTGTGAGATGTAATTTCATTTCTCAATACCGAATTTCGTCTATATATTTCACAAGCGTATACCACTGAGAAGCTCTGATTGTATATTATTCCTTTTTTTTGTGTGGACCATCGTTGTTAACAGCAATATTTGATGAAGCAGATGATGATAGTAGAAAGCAATATGAGCGTATTATTTATCTTGTGTCTGACGAAAACTAAATTCCTGCATGCTTATATCTTGCCATTTTGTATTGGTTTGGTGGGTGTTCACTCAAAATCGTAATTCAAAAATTGTGTTTGTGAGATGTAGATTCACTTCAATAACGAATTTAGTCTATATATTTGTGACAAGTGTATATATATACAACGGAGAAGCTCTAAAGGTACTACTCCCATTTGGTTTGGGTGTGAACCATCGATGTTTACAGCAATATTTAATGAATAAGATGATGATAGTAGAAAGAAATATGAGCGTCATGTGGCAAATATTACAGAAATGTCGGACTATGAGTTATCTATCTGTATGAAAAGATTTCCAATACAACCATATTGAGTAGGATTTTTACCTGCTATACTCGAGTCGTACTAGTATACAGGCTTCTCATGTCGCCGTTTGACTCAGACACACATCTTTTACTTTAAGATGTATGAAAGATTCTATATATATATTAAATGTAACAATAATGAAACGCCTACAGGCAATAACTAAACGGGTATGAAGTTTTATACAGATTTATTCTTATTAACATAATCATTAACAAACTAAATAAATCATTGAACAAAGAAACACAGTGACACTACGATATAACAAATGGGATACTTAATTATTTTTAACCATGCTATGCAGAAACTTAACACATCAAGTTAGGGCACGTGAATACCAATTTGGAACACGATGTGTGATTTTGTATAAAAATATCAAAGCGAGCAGTAACTTTGTCTAGCAAATATTTTTTTACTATGCCTCTCTTTATCTCTTTTCCTTTACAATAACTATTACCCTTTTCGTCGATCATTCTCTATGTAGTATAATTTTCTCTAATCGGTTATTTTTTTTCACTATGCCACTCTATCTCCGTTCCTTTACAGTGTCTGTTTCCCCTGTCGTTCTAATCCGTATAAAGATAGGGACATTAGACATAGAAGGAGCTCTCTTATCGTCAATAAATAAATATTTGATACTAACTATAAGTGCTGCATTACTTTATACTGCATGTTTGCCAATCGTCAAAAGCTTGCATTTCCGTGAAGAATTTTTTTTTCAAAAGAAGGGTCCAGAATCATGACAAAACAGTATATGTATTTCACAAATTTTTTTAAAGATCATATTTATAAAATTTTTAAACTTATTATCAGCAAAAATATTGGATAATATTATTATCAGAACATCATTCATTAACAGGTGGAATTATAATTTCAAACACGCACAAGATAAATAACGTCGAACACAAATATATGTGGTTCAATTAATGTTACCTGTGCACGTCGGGTACCTCAATTAAGAAGCCATGCATGAACCTGTATAATATATTGTGTAATAGGAATTTTTAGTCGACAGGATGTCACTGGAATAACCAAGGATGTGTATCTAATATACGTCCTTGGGATAACTAACTGAATGTGTCGCTCTGACACGACATCTATCAATAATTCTGACATACCTATTATCAATTCGGGAGGAAGCCAAAATATATATATATATATATAATAAGATAAGGTAAATAAAATTTAAAAAGAAAAAAAAAAAATATACATTTTTTTCCAAACATACCAGATAGGGTCACACATTTAACTGTAAAGTGTCTTTATAAGTGACTGTTCCGAATTGATCCCGTATCAATTTGATATAGTTAAAAGATTAGTTAAAAAACTTTTTTGATAAAAAATTGAGATGTCCAATATTTCGATATTTACATTTCTATAACCTGGGAATATTATACTATATCAACATATTTTGTCTTAGCTAAAACCTCTTCCTAACATTGCTCCCCGTCAATATCCGTTAAATATCATAATTTAAAAATGTTATTTATCGTAAAACTTTATTAATTTAAAAAATTATCTTGACTAAGTACGGAACTATTCTTTATATAAACCAATGCACTTTATATAAAAGAGGCATACTAATGAATCTTTTTGTAAATCAGTGATTGTTACAAAAACACTGCATTTGTCTTTCTTTTAATTGAAACTTTTCTTCCTCATCAAATCTATATTTTATTGAATCAACGAGATCTTATCATATAAGGATTTGATAACTATAGCTATCAGAACTGCTAGGTTATTTTGTTATTAAAAAAAAGTATAATTACCATCAAATCTCCCTCGAAACAAGATTGTTCAAAATGGTCTTCACACATCAACTTGTGCTTGCTATAGATCATAACTATTTTCTTTTTTTGTGGGTTTGGGAAAACTATTTAGACTTTTGTCATAACCTTGTCTAACAGAACAACCGTACGCGTGATAAGACATTTTCACAATGGGTGATCATCTACGGTAATCCCCGATTGATGATGGGAGTTTTTAACGCACGGTCGGTAAATCCCTGATTCATTTTGGTCTTTGTGGTTTATAGACATCACGTGACTTTTTAGATCGAACATGCCGACAAGATGGCGATATGTCGAGAACTGATAGTGAATTTCAAAAATCGATTTTGATCTCTTTTCATAGAGAATAAAAGTTTTTTATTTATGAAAATGTGGTTTTTTATGCTTAAAGAACAAAATATCAATTTTTCATTTTTTTGCGGAGTTTCCCATTAAAGTAAATAGCAAAAACAAGGAGAAATGCTTAGTGCAAATTGTTTTTATTTTATTAAATTACAATGTAAAACATGAACTTAACCAAAAGGAAGAAGTTGTTTGATGACTCTGTTGAGGGGCTAGGGACAGAAAGTGTTTGATGTTTGTCAACAAAATAACGACAGCATGGGGGTAAATCTAAGAGCTAATCCTTGCTTTAATAAATTTTGTACGTTGCCCGACTTTTTGTACTCAAAAATATATACAGTTATAAATTGCACAAGTTCGTGCTTATGTCAATTTCTTCATTCCAGTCATGTTTTTTGTACCAATGTGTTCCACGATTCTTGCGTTTGGATGTCATTCACAGTACAAATTTCCTGGCACAAAGTCATTGTTTACATAAAGAAATCACGGTTTTCAAATCACTGAAATTTTTGCGATACCGCGATTTGCGTTCTTGGACACCGCCTATTTCTCGTAACCCGAGTATTTCATGTTCTTCCCGTAATCAATCTCTATTCTCAGAAGATACTGTTGTCATCATAGAGCAGCAGAATATGTCGACTCAATTATTTTGGTTAAATTACTAAGAAATACGAAAACCGAAATTTACAGAAGGAAGTTTTTAATGAAACTAAACTATCGATAGTTACCAGTAATAAACAAAATCCGGAAATCGTAAATTTTCATAAATCAAAAATTGGGGCGGGCCGATTTCAGAGGGCCGGGCGGGGATGAAAATCTATCAATTAATTTTAATTGGCCTTACTGTCAATTCATAAATTCTTGACAGGTTTTTGTTATTGCGAATAATGCGACTGGTTGAGTATCGCAACATTAAGAACTTGCATTCTGAGGTTTGACACATATATTTGTTTGCCCCTTTTTCTATAATCGCAATTAATAACTCTCATATTTTGGTCTGTCATATTCAAATCGCAATAATAAATGCACGCAATAATTTCTGAATTAACAGGCCAATCCTTCTGCATTGGGAAATTGACCTTTTGTGAGAGATATCAAAATGAACCCAGTTACACAAATATTGAAAAGACATCTAGAGATTAACTGACTTGAACTATAGACAGGTTTGTCATATGTCCATTGTCCTTGACCTCATTTTCATGGTTCAGCAACTGCTTAAAAATGCTAGGTTTTTTGTCATGTGAATTTTTAACTTATTATGAGTACCTGGTAATAGGATAATTGTATATGGTAAATTTGATTCTTGCAAGGTGTACATATTGGTCAGACATGGTTCACCTGACCTTAATCTTATTTCATGGATTAGTGACAAAGGGGTCCTATCAATTTAAAATCTCAAAAAAAAAAAGAAGAAAAATTGATGGGGATCTCTTTTAAACTCGTTTTTTATATGTGTTCTCAAAAAAGAAGAAAACACTGAAATCATGGTACAGTTACTGCCTTATTTATTAATCGACAAATTTGTGACTTTATCAAAGCATATATCTTTTTGACAATTGTGTTCAATTGAGAGGGAGATTAAGTAGATAATACTGAACATATTACAAAGGTAACAAAATAGATGACTAACGTAAAAAGGGAGATTTGTGGGAGCTTATGATTCTGATAATTATTTTGATAATCTTTCTAAGATTTCATGTTTTACGACACAGGGTACAAGAAGGACATGTTCTACTTATACAGAAATATACTGTAAAGAAAAGTTTTCATCATGTTGACCACTACAGACCACCATTGCCTGATGGCTTGACCATGTACGATATAGATATTAATGTTAACAGTCACCATCCTGTAGGAATAGTAAGAGTTATCTCACTTGTTACAATACCAAGCTGTCTAAATCTGCCTGCAAAACAATACAACATTATACAGAGAAAAGATTTGGGGTAAGTTAAATTCATCACATCTTACTAACAGCAAAAATGTTTTCAAATGTTTATCAACTGGTAGTATTGGTCATTGATAATTATTTCCTCTAAGTCCTGAAAGTCATTTGAGACTTCCTATTTGACAAATCGGTTGTCTCATGATTGCTTGTTTGTCTCGAGTGCTGGAGATCATGGGTTTGAACCCCTGCTGGTTCAAACCAAAGACTTTAAAATTGGTATTTGCTGCTTCTCCGCTAAGCACTAAGCATTAAGGAGTAAGAGCAAAGACTGGTTGGCTCGGAGTCAGAATAATGTGTCTGGGTAGGGTGACATGTCTTCCTGCTGACTGTTACCTTGTGAACTAGCACGTTAAAAATCTGGCTCAGCTTGTCAGCCTAGTACAAAGCAGGGTTAATAATTTTATCACATTAACATTTTCTCATCCTGAATTTTCATATATTTGCCGCTGGACATTAAATAGCCATCCTTCATCATCTTAGTCCTTAAAGTCATATGATTCTTCAAATTTAACAAGAAGTTGAATATGTTTTATATACTTGAATGGCTAAGTTTTACTATTTCACATGTGTACATAAACTTTCTTCAAAATAAATCCTTTATTACATCTAAATCTCCATAAATGTACTGCTATTGAATTATTGTCTTTACATACTCTAATTTCAACAAAACGTTTTGGTAGGAAGTAACCTTAAGCACAATCCTGTTAGAAATTCATCTATTGCAAAGCTCAAGTGCAAAGGGTGATACCATGATGGAAAAAAAGTAAACAAACATGGAAAGAAGATAATATTAACCGATTCTTAAAGAAAAATATAATACACCAAATCATTTAATAAATGGTATGACAAATTTTATCAACTGATGGGAACGCATGGAAAATATAAAAAACAACAAGTAAAATCTCTTAAGCAAATCACTTAATATACACATGCTCCATTAATTTTTTGTTTATCAAGGTCACAGTTGGTAAACTTTGGTACTTAAACCAGGAAGTTAATTAGCAGCCAAAGTTTTCAATCAACAATCACTAAATGAAATATTTTTTGTCGATAATAAGTTATGGATTCGTAATACATGTAAAATATCTGCACAGAGGACTTAGTTTAGTATATATGCATGTATTGGTTCAATAATTTTTTCACATTATAATTACTAGAAACTCTCTCCATATGATTGTATGAATGAGATGACAATATTTTACTTTACAAAACCTCAGGTGAAATTTTGTAAAGTATCTCAAAAGGATGGTACTGCTGGATCATATTGAAATCTCTATTTATTTAAAGTTTTTATTTTATCTAAAGGTATAATTCTTATGTTTTGTATTATTTTAAGAGCAGATGCTTTCCCAGTGATTATGTATGTGACATCACAGGTTTAGTGATATATGTTGGCCGATTCTTTAGAGAGAGGATGACAGGTATGTGACATCACAGGTTTAGTGACATATGTCAGACAATTCTTTAGAGAAAGGATGACAGGTATGTGACAACACAGGTTTAGTGACATATGTTGTCTGATTCTTTAGAGAGAGGATGACAGGTATGTGACATTACAGGTTTAGTGACATATGTTGGCCGATTCTTTAGAGAGAGAATGACAGGTATGTGACATATGTTGGTCGATTCTTTAGAGAGAGGATGACAGGTATGTGACATCACAGGTTTAGTGTCATATGTTGACTGATTCTTTAGAGAGAGGATGACAGGTATGTGACATCACAGGTTTAGTGACATATGTTGACTGATTCTTTAGACAGAGGATGACAGGTGTGTGACATCACAGGTTAAGTGTCATATGTTGGCCGATTCATAAGAGAGGATGACAGGTATGTGATATCACAGGTTTAGTGACATATGTTGACTGATTCTTTAGAGAGAGGAGGACAGGTATGTGACATCACAGGTTTAGTGACATATGTTGACTGATTCTTTAGAGAGAGGATGACAGGTGTGTGATATCACAGGTTTAGTGTCATATGTTGGCTGATTCTTTAGAGAGAGGATGACAGGTATGTGACATCACAGGTTTAGTGACATATGTTGACTGATTCTTTAGAGAGAGGATGACAGGTATGTGACATCACAGGTTTAGTGACATATGTTGACTGATTCTTTAGAGAGAGGATGACTGGTATGTGACATCACAGGTTTAGTGTCATATGTTGACTGATTCTTTAGAGAGAGGATGACAGGTATTTGACATCACAGGTTTAGTGACATATGTTGATTGATTCTTTAGACACAGGATGACAGGTGTGTGACATCACAGGTTTAGTGACATATGATGGCAGATTCTTTAGAGAGAGGATGACAGGTATGTGATATCACAGGTTTAGTGACATATGTTGGCTGATTCATTAGAGAGTGAATGACAGATATGTAACATCACAGGTTTAGTGACATATGTTGGTTAATTCTTTAGAGAGAGGATGACAGGTATGTGACATCACAGGTTTAGTGACATATGTTGGCCAGTTCTTAAGAGGAAGAATGACAGGTATGTGACATCACAGGTTTAGTGACATATGTTGGCCGATTCATAAGAGAGGATGACAGGTATGTGATATCACAGGTTTAGTGACATATGTTGACTGATTCTTTAGAGAGAGGATGACATGTAAGTAACAACACAGGTTTAGTGACATGTGTTGGTCGATTCTTTAGAGAAAGGATGATTGGTATGTGATATCACAGGTTTTATTATGACATATGTTTGCAGATTTTTTCTTTTCAGCTCTTCCACAAATTTTATACCTCAGTTATATGGTCATTATGTTTTGCCTTAATGATAACATTTCCTGACCAGCAAGATTTTATCAAAGCAAAGTTCAGACTTGAACAACTTTTCTTATGTAACGAGTAAAAGTTGAAATGGACAGTTAATAGATCATCAGGCTTTCAGCATATAGACATTTCATAGCTTGTTATGGGGTATTAGTTTTATTAATTGTTGAAGGTTGTATGATGACCGATAGTTGCTAACTTCTTCCTCAGTTGCTCTCTTGTGGAAAGTTGTCTCAATTATGCCACATCTTCTAATTGTTATATTGTAATAGATCAGGGGCTGGGCATGATATAATCAGTTTTTGCTTGCTAGTATGATGAGCTTTCCTACAAAAAAAACCTCTTCATGGCTGATATTTTGTATATCTATGTTATTATTACCTTATTTAAAGTTTTTAGTATTTATATTTTATTTTTAGGTAAAACTGATTTAGACACTGGTGGCTTCTGGATCAGTAGATGGTTAGAACTGAAAGACCATAGCAGTCAGAAAACTTTTAAAGTCCTTATATACAGACCAGCTGCGGTATTTATCAATAGTAATCCTAATAAAGAAGACTTTTAAAGTCAGTATATATAGATAGACCAGCTGAGGTATCTATCTGCAAAAATAAGTTAACACGTTAATTTCTGAATTTACAGGAGTCTATACTATTTCTTACTTCCATCACAGTTTTAATAAGTCGTCATATGAGAATGGTTGTTATATCTATCTAAGATAGATGTCTATAACGATGTTACGCCAGGCACAGTTTTAAATTTGGCGTCATATGAGAATTGTTAATATTTCTATTTGAGATAGATATCTATAATGATGTTATTCCAAGTACAGTTTTATTATGTCGTCAACAAGAATTGTTTATATTTTTATTTTAGATAGATATCTATAACGATGTTATGCCAGGCACAGTTTTAATACATCTTCATATAAGAATTGTTGATATTTTTATTTTAGACAGATATGTATATAACAATGTTATGTCAGGCACAGTTTTAATATGTCGTCATATGAGAATTGATAATATTTCTATTTTAGATTGTTTTCTATAGGGATGTTATACCAGGCACAGATTTAATATGTCATCATATAAGAATTGTTGATATTTCTATTTTAGATGGATATCTATAACGATGTTGTTCCTGGCACAGTTTTGATATGTTGTCATAAAAGAATTGTTGATATTTCATTTTAGACAGATATCTATAATGATGTTGTGCCAGGCTCAATTTTAATATGTCGGCAGATAAGAATTGTTGATATTTCAGTTTAGATAGATATCTATAATGATGTTATGCCAGGCACAGTCTTAATATGTCGTCATATGAGAATTATTGATTTATCTATTTTAGATAGATGTCTTTTAACAATGTTATGCCAGGCACAGTTTTAATACATTGTATGTCGTCATATGTAAATTGTTGATATTGCTATTTTAGATATCTATCTATAAGGATGTTATGCCAAGCACAGTTTTAGTATGTCGTCATATGATAATTGTTTGATATCTCTATTTTAGATATCTATCTATAAGGATGTTATACCAGGCACAGTTTTAATATGTCGTCATATGAGAATTGTCAGTAATATAAGCTATATACATGCATCTAAAGATGACAGGAATATGTATTTGACATCTACTGGTTCCACTTATGTAAGTTCCAACTGTTTTTATTCCAGTTCCACTGATTGGCTTTATGTAGACATAAGGTGTGTTTGGAAAACTAAAATATAAGACTTGTATATTTAAGGACATTTCTAATTATGTTAGCTAAAAGTCCTCAATTTAGTAGCAGATATAGATTTATTTCAGAGATGGGACTACTGCTTAGGTTCTAGGTGCAAAACTTTGCAAGTGAGCTTCCCTTCATCAATTTTGTATATTGAAAAAGACCTATTAGTTGATGTTTTGATATCAAATGTACTTTGCATTCAGGGAAAATATAGCAAATTTCATATAGAAAGATTAATCAATAATAATCACTTTCACATCAAATATTTACTGAATTTTTTCTTCTTTTTTGATAAATTTTTTCGTAAATGACTGGAAGCTGTCCTCTATTTTATTTGACCTCTGTAAAAATACAAAGCACACAATTTTGTAAATATGTAAAAAATTCACCAGTGACATACATAGAAATTTATATTAGTGAATACTTTCTATATATACTCAAATTTGAAAAGTCTCTTTAAGTGTGAATCCATTGTTGCCTAATAAGTCACTGACAAATGAACAATTTTCAAATAAAATTACTTAAAATTTCCGAAGTCAGTGATGAGATATGTTAACCTTTAGCACAAAAAATGCTTTGTTTTCTGTATTTCAGTTATAATTAAAAATAAAATAAAATTAATGCAATCGAAAAAAACAATGTATATGAAAAGGCATTTTAGATTTCAATGAACATAATCCATGTATCACTGATAAATCATAAAATCAGGGACTCATTTGCTTTTATTTGTGATTCAAAGTGCAACCATAAGGATTTGACATCTTGCAAAGATTTGACAATTTTATTTTTCAATCTCACATCAGACAGTGAACTCAATACTTCTGCCTTTGTTAATTTAAGACATTTTATTTTAAAAATAAATAATTTTGAGAGTTACATTGTACTTGATGAAGTTAATCTTTTTATTAAACAGATTGAGATTGTGACTGGTAATTGTGTACTTTCACATGTTAATGATGTTGTGACATGGTCTCAGTCATACAACGAGGATTATACCATGGGTGGCTATTATTCATATCCTCCCATACCCACTACATTGGCTGATATGAAAAACTACTCTGAGGATTTAAAGGTTAGTTTTCATTTTAGTTCACCTGATCAAAGTGCTAAAAAAAAATTAAGCTCAAACTTAATAATACTGTGTAACTTATATGTGGATCAGCAGTACTTATCTTTCTAACTTGTTTTGATTGAATGAGCTGTATTTCACTATTTTGCACAACTTTTTGGAATTTTTGGTTTTAAATGCTCTTCAATTTTGTATTTGATTCGGCCTTTTATATGTTTTGTGTCTTGCCACAGATGAGTCATATATAGACAAATATACAATATTAGGTCAATGTCAGAAAAGTATAAACTTTTTTGTATAAGGCTGAGAAACGGGAAGGGCGAGGTTGTACCGAGCCCTTCCCCAGTTTTGTGCTGAATACAAAAAAGTTTATTTTTTCTGATATTGACTTAATATTGTTTTTATACTGCAACTTAGATTAATACTTTGATAGCTATTTAAATTGAAACACAAATTTCAAACTTATTTTCATCCCTTAACGAACCCCTGGTTGTGGAAAAAGTGTTCCTTGATGAAATTGACATTGCACAAGATATAGCTTTGTTACTATATTTAGGAAATAAACACAACTAGTTGCAGTATAAAATAGGCATCTGGTGTACCAAATTATTAGCCTGGTATTTTTGATGAGTTTTTAACAGCGAACATAAAAGATTATTTATATTTATAGATAACAACAAGTGAAGAATTGAGGTTAGAATTGGGTAAACTGAGTTACAGGGAACATAAAAGATTATTTATATTTATAGATAACAAGTGAAGAATTTAGGTTAGAACTGGGTAAACTGAGTTACAGGGAACTTAAAACATTATTTATATTTACAGATAACAACAAGTGAAGAATTGAGGTTAGAATTAGGTAAACTGAGTTACAGGGAACATAAAAGATTATTTATACAAGGTCAGATGATTGCTGTAAAATATCAGACTAAAAGTTTATCCAGGTTTGTAGAATTGCTGTCAAATGCACATTTACCCTTCACAGATATCATAATTTTGATGCATGTAGTTTGATAATAAACAGTAGAACAACAAATTAGAAAGGTTTTTACACAATATTTCGGTTTTGAATTACAGGTTACCATTTAACCAACAAAAACAAATATAGTTTTGCATCAAAAAGGAGTTTAGCACCTTTACTACAAGAATGTTCTGTTTCATATTTTTTTTATTGTTATGCATGTAATAAAAAAAACCCCTAGAATTCATTAATTTTAATTTTGTTAGTGTACATGATAAAATGACATTTTAATTCTATTAGGTTGTGATTATGTTGAATGATAACAAGATGGAATGTTTGATATTTTATACTTATAGTATCAATGTTTAGCAAGTACCTGCCATCTGAAAACTCATAGAATCAGTGTAAACAATTGCAAGGTCTCAGCACCATTGATTTCAATACAACTCATTACATTCTAGTGGGGAATGATTAAATAGAATAATCCCCAAATTTCGAATTCATGATATTGCTGAAAAAATTGATATTTATATTGCCTTTGCTGTCAGTTGATATGAATATAAATCTAATGAATGATTATTACAGGAATAATACCACCATTGATTTCCCCCTATTAGTCTGTTAAATTGGCACTTTTCAGACCTGCCAACTATCCCGCTTTATGGGGGATATCCCCCATGAGAGGTGTTGACCTGAATTTTGAAATTCTTTATTTTATAAACTGAACACCTCAAAACAGGCATTTAAATGAGTAGGAAGGGTATTTAGTAGTAGGTTAAAAACACTTGTGACAATATAAGAGGAGCATATATCCTCTTGCGCTTAAAATCCCCCATGGAGATTTTGAAAAGTTGGCAGGTATGACTCAATAAATTGTGCAGAATTTGTCTTTGTTTCCAATAGAGATATACTTTGCATGAGTAAAGTTTTATCCTGTCCAGTACTACAGACAAAATTTCGCATAACATTTCATTGCATATAATATAATAACCATCACTGCAAGTTGACCAATCAGATTTTCACCCCTTTTTTTCCTGTGTACAAGCTTTAGTAACCATGTAACCTCAAGTTTCCAAAATATTTTATAGAAACACCAAATAAACAATTAATGGTACTGTGAAGCACCCAAGCTATATGTTTATGACTCAGAATTGTTTTTTCTGCAATGAAATGCAGGGTTAACTTCCTACAACTGTCAAATTCAAGGGAATATTTTTTTTTTTACCCTTTTTCGTATGAAATGGTTTGTGAAGTACTATGATTTGGTGGTATTACACCTACACAACAGGCTTTTGTTTACATTAATAATGTGTTCAACCATCTTTTATATTTCAGGACAAAAAAGAAGGAGGTAAGTTTGTTTTATTTATTCAAACTCCATTAGTTATTAAATCTTTAAAGTAGCAACAAAAGGCATACAATCAAAGGAGAAAAAATATGTCTGAATAATCTTTCGTGGCAGAATGGCATAACTTCTTGCAGATTGTTACCTTCTGAGCTTACTTGCTAAAAATCTTACTTAGTGTGCTGATCTAGAACCTGATTTTGACGAATCACGTTAATTTTTTTCCAAAAATAACAATATCGGATAATTATTTGAGACCTCTGATGAATCACAATAAGGATATTTTGAGGAATCACAATAACATATTAACCAATTTGACGTTAACAATAGCTGAAAATGACCGTTTGACGCCTGACGGTATAGAGCATTCCTACCCTCAGTTTTGTACCACTGTTCAAACTTCTATTTTTTTAACCACATCATTGGTTTTGAGGTAGCATGTTCGCCTCAATTGAGGGAAGTCCTTGGTTAGAACCCTGGCCGTGTCAAACCAAAGACTTCAAAATAAGTATTTGCTGCTTCTCCGCTAAGCACATAGTATTAAAGAGTAAGAGCAAAGAATGGTCGGCTCTTAGTACGAAAGATGTGTCCGGGTAGGGTGTCAGACATGTCTTCCTGTGGACTGTTACCTTGTGAACTAGCATGTTAAAAAATCAGGTTCAGCGTGTCGGTCTTGTACGAAGCATGGTTAATATTCATTTAACATTAGCATGTTCTTGTCCTGAATATACATTTAATTTGCCGCTGGACGTTAAGCAGCCATCCATCATCATGAAACTTTATTTGAATTTTAGGACAGCAGAATGGAAGTTATTGTGAATGAGGATCTATATCATCACTTTAAACAAGAGATATCCTCTACAGTGATAATACCACCTTTCTCCTACAAGTTTGACAGAGATTTAATAAGCAGTCTGCTACAGTTCCCATCTGTCTTTAACAGAGCAGTTGATTCATCAGATTTAGGTAAATTTATATGTACAATACAGATTTTTTGCACGTAACAATAATTGTTATATTTGGATAAATTTTATTTATTACAGGGGTTGCAATGAAATAATGTGATTTCCCTGTAAAATAAAAATCAATATTTCACTACTCTGACATCATACAACAATGGGTATTGTCAAGACATTGTCGATGAGGTTGCATCAAAAAGAATTGAGAATGTGTAAAAAAAAAGAGGTAAAGTTCTTTGCATTTTCGGCTTTGTTTCCACGAAAAGTCCACGGGCAATGTAATAAAAAGAAGAAATAATCCAAGATTTCAAATATCGAAAAATATTCAGCTTGTGACCCAACAACACTGATAATTAACTTTTGTGCATGTTGCATTTGTGAATTAATGTGTTATTTAGTCCACATGCAGAATATAGATAATGTGATATGTTTATATTTAATACATTTTCTATTCATGGAAGGTTCTTTAAACATATAGAGAGATTATTTAAAAAAGACTCTTTTTTTTATTATATTGAAAATATACATATGAAGACTCCATTGATTCAAAAAACTGAATTTCAGTCACAGGCTTTGCCATTGGATTAGCTGTTATAGAATCAAATGATTGTTAATTTTCTTAGAACTCATGATCTAAAAAATAATTTTTGCATTATTTAGCCAATATGAAATAATGGTAAGGCCCGTTTTCTGAAATGTATTGATTGATTGGTGTTTACGCCACTTTCAGCACTATTGTGCTAGTTCATGGCGTTCAGTTTTTATTGATGGAGGAAGTTGAGTGCCCAGTGAGAACCACTGACCTTTGGTAGGAAAAATGACAATCCTATAGCCCTCCTTCTGATATGCTTAATTCTCTGAAATCTTAGATTTAACACTGCATGTTTTATATTTTATATTTCAGAAGAATCAGATGAAAGTAAAGGATGTTTTATGATTTATTGGTCAGGATTAAACAGTAAAATCTTAATACCAACCATGTGGATGTGTGGAACAGCATCAACAGACTTAACAACATTATTACACTATAGTAATCATACGTTTAAACAAACACGGAACAATTATGAAGTCATGGAAATAATTCAGTCAGCAAAACAGTGTAGAGGACAAAAATTTCTTCTTGTCATCGATGCTTATAAACCAAACTGTAATTCAACAGAAATAGTCCTGAACACAGCATACAAATTATGATATTTTGTATGAACCAAACTGTTATTCAACAGAAATTATTCTGAATATAACATATAAATTGTGAAATTCCACATGAATGGAACCAGTCGGTAGTAAAACCCTGGCAAAAGTGGGACATCCCTTTTTCTATGTGGGATGTAAAAATTCCCAGCTTTGTCTGGTCAAAATGGGGAAGTTTAATTTAATGAATCATGTATAGAGAGTGCCACACTGTCTATCATTAAAGAACACTTGTAACACCTCTCTGAGGGTCTGCTGGTGGCCTGTTGCAAGAGAAAAATTGCTGTCCCTATGTGACATACCCTCATGTTCCAGAGGCAGTCCGAATTTTCCTGCCCTTCATCTGGGTCAACCCCTACCTTACAGAACTCACATATTGTATTAATTGTGGTTCTCGTTCTGAACATGCATGACATATTTGCCACTGGACATACAGCAAATAGCAATCAATTCATCAATGATTCAACAGAAATGGTCCTGAGCACAGCATATGAATTATGTTATTCCATTGCATGTTGATATTGATAGTGATTTGATTGGTTGAGATTATCCCATGTGATATTGAACAGAACTTCATATTCCCCTCTGAATGTCGGGACTTCCTCCATTTGATTATGTCGTGTTTAGTTATAAAAACAAGTGGATAAGAAAAAAAATATCACGGTAATTAAATAACTTATGTTCAGGATATAAAAAAAATATAGGCTGTGGAATAAAACATTCATTTTCCTTGGCTTAGGGAGATATGAAGATTTGTTAACTCTTGAAAAGTCATATTTCCCTCGGGCACTGCCATGTGAAATATAAATTTTCTTGGGTGAACAAATCTTCATATCGCCTTCTGGCACGGGAAATAAATGTTTATTATTACATACCAACCAAACTGTTGTTCAACAGAAAAATTCCTGAACACATATGAATTATGATATTCAGTACAAACCATACTATTTTTAACACAGCATATCAATTATGATATTCCATATGAACCAAACTATCTCATTGGCAATCATACCACATCTCCTTATTTTATATAATACACAGAAATGGTCCTGAACGGGGTATTGTGAAACAAACTGTAATACACACTTTATAAATGGTTTTGAATACCGCAAACAAATTTTTGATATTTGTATGAACCAAACGGTTATACAATAGAAAAGGTCCTGAACATAGTTTTGGATTATACTATCTTACATATATGTTAATATTGTCATGTGTAATATTAATGGGAAAGTGAAAACAAATTTTTGATCTTGAGATAAGCAATATGTTATCTAACATACTATTTGTTAGTTTTTAATTACAACTCATGATTCTGTTCACCATTTTCTCTTTTTTATTTTACTTTTTCAAGTTTTCCCCATATGTGTCAGAATATTGTTGACCTACCATCTCAAACAAGTTAGAATACACTGAAATTTTGGTCAGATTTCTGTTGACTTCATTTACAATTTATCTAGATCAGGTTTACGTTTCCATTGTATGGCAGATGTCTGTTTTCAGTTAACCACCTTGGTGACCTGGTGGTAGGGTGCTCTTCTTGTGTGTCAGGGGTCGTGGGTTCAAACCAAAGATTACGGAATTGGTATTTGCTGCTTCTCCACTAAGCACACTGAGGATTAAGATGAAAGACTGGTCAGCCTAGAGTTAGAATAATGTGTCCTGGTTGTAGAATATTATGTCTTCCTGTGGGCTGTATGCTGTGAACTAGCATGTTAAAAATCTGGCTCAGTGTGTCAGTCTAGTACAAAATAGGGTTTATATTTATATCACATTAACATGTTCTTGTCCTGAATACGCATTCAACCTGCCACTGTACTGTAAACAACCATCCATCCATCTATTAACAGTTGATTTTTATAGTTGGGTCACTGTGTCATCAACATTTACCTGGCATCACTTGTTACTCTAACATGAATACCATATATGAGGAACTTTTCTAGGGTTATTTCATTGGTTTCATCAGGCATTTTTGTCTCCCCTGTGACGAAATTCGCAGAATGCAAAACATAGGGATTACAAATCTGGTGGTAGCGTAAACTATTTGTATTAAACTTTATATTTCAGGGAGGCTTCATATCTTGTGTACAGATGCCTTATGTTACAATTTTTCTATCTGTCATATGTCCATTGTCCTTGACCTCATTTTCATGGTTCAGCGACTGCTTGGAAAAAAAGTTTCTTTTTTTTGTTATGTGAATTTCTCCCTTATGAGTAATGGGAGAACTATATTTGGTATATGGGTTTCTTGCAGGGTCTACATGTCTGTCATACAGGGTTCACCTGACCTGGACCTCATTTCATGGATCAGTGAATAAGGTTAAAGTTCTATGATTAGGCTCGTTTCTCCAATACTGAAAGCAGTAAGTCAACTATATTTGGTGTATGGAATGATTGTAAGGTGTAAATGTCAGTCTGGTAGGTTTCATCTGACCTTGACCTTGTTTTCACGGTTCATTGGTCAATGTTAAAATTTTGTGTTTTGATCTGTTTTTCTAATACTATAAGCAATAGGTAAACTATATTTGGTGTATGGAATGATTGTAAGAAGTACATGTCTGTCTGTAGTGTATCATCTGTCCTTGACCTCATTTTCATGTTTCATTGGTCAATGTTAAGTAGTAAGGTCCTTTTCTGAGATACTATAATCAATAGGTCAACTATAGTTAGTGTATAGAATGACTTTAGGGTATACATGTCTGTCTGGCAGGGTTCATCTGACCTTGATATAAATATAAGATTTGGTATGATTACCAATGAGACCACTATCCACCAAAGTTCAAATAAAGGAGGTAAGCAATTATAGGCAACTGTACATCCTTCAACAATGAGAAAAACCCACACCGTATACTTAATTCATTGAACAGAATTACGGGCTAATTTATAAAACGATTTACGAAAAACAAATATGACCGACATGAACCAATGACAACTATTGAACTACAGGCTCCTGACTTGGGACAGGCACATAAAGTATGTGGCGGGGTAAACATGTTAGAAGGCGCCAACCATCCCCTAACCTTGGACAATGGTGCAAGGACACAAAACAAGAACAAACTATACAAAACAGTAAAGGAAAAAACAAATATGAGAAACAGCAACAAACGACAACAACTCGATTACAGGCTCCTGACTTTGGATAGGCACATATAGAATTTAGTGGGGTTAAACATGTTTGGAGGTACCACCCTTCCCTAACCTGGGACAGTGGTGTAACAGTACAACATAATGAACTATAAAAATCAGTTGATAAGGGCTTAACTCATCAGATCGATACAAAGTAGAAAAACATCTAAGAAAAACACAGACCGGACATGGCAGGGTATTTATACATCCCTCACAACAATTCAGACACAAAGTACAGATATGAGATTACTCGCAGATACTGACAGCTAATTCAGAGCCAATAACAACTAATAAAAAAAATCATGTATATAAGAGCAAAATATCAATCAGTACACATCCAAAATCCAATGGATTTAGTGTAAAGACGTCATTAACAGTCTGAGAAACACATAACCTTGTGCAATGCCAAAATATAGGTATCAACAGATTGTAGTACCATGAATGTGCATATGTGTATACTAGTATGGTTTTAATTTACTGATAACAAAATCAATATTTATACCAATAAAAACCATATTCAAAGATCTAAATACACTTTTTAGAATAAGTTTATTTAAAGGATTGATAAGTTTACCTGCGACTCTTTTCACAAAAAATCTTATGATCGTAAGTTATACTGAAATGTGTATGACTTACGAGTAATTTTCAGGCCCTGTCAACAACATCACTGTAAAAATTAGGATGTGGTATTCCGTTTGAAATAAGTTTTCTCCAGTTACAGTTAAACCTCATTTTCATAGTTCATTGGTCAATGTTAAGCTTTCCTTATAAAGTATGTTTCTCAGATGCTATAAGCTATACGGTCAACTATATATGGAATCTGAGAATACTCAGTGTTACAGTAGTCTCAGATGGAATGATTGTAAGGTATACATGTCTGTCTGGAAGGGTTCATCTGACCTTGACCTCATTTACATGGTTTCTTTGGTTTATATTAAGTTTGCATGGTTTGGTTTGTTTCTTATACTAAAAACAATAGATCAACTATATTTGGTGTATGTAAGGTGTACATGTCTATCTGAGCTTGACCTCTTTTCATGGATCATTGATAAAGTAAAGTTTATGTGATACTTGTGGTGAAACTTTAGAACTATCAATCATGGTAAGTAAAGCAGGGGAGACATTCCAATGTGTGCACTCTTGTTAAAATATGTCGGCCAGGAGTTGCATAATTGTACACTGAACCTTGTCGAAAATTAAAAAAAACACCTAACCAATTAAAATTAAATACGATAAAAAGATTCCTTGTATATCTAATGATATTAAATTGGTTGATTACTGGGATTGGTGATGAGCTAAATCTAGTTAGACCAGGAACATATATATTTGACTTGTTAGATATACTGTTCCCAGGTTAGACCAACTATAAATCACATCATTGATTAATCATTGTTGTTTGAGTCAAGCTGACCAACCATTGGTTACATTAAAGCATCAAGCTTAAAAACCTAAATTATTTACTGAAAGTCTGCATACTAGTATTAAACATGACACCATAAGCTTTGTCTTTAACCAACATGAATTGATCACCAAAGTATGTAATTACTATTGGTCACAAGATATGACAGGATTCACCTTATTATATTAAAATCTCTCCTTTCACATTCTGCAGTTTTGCAGAGACATTAGAGGAGCATTTCGGACAATTTATAACCGTGCTTGTGGGACAAATGTGTTTATTTTATGTAATTTAAGCGACTCATGTAGACTGACTAATGAGAAAGACTACCAGACAAATAAATAATCTAATAATTAAAATCACTTAATGTGTTAAAAACCTTGCCGAAGGGGGTGTCCGTTTGGCTGTGCTTGATGTATAAATTCTCAGCCAAGATGGTCAAAATGAGGACGTTAAATCTGACAGCCTCATGTAAAGAGAGTGTCATGCTCTCTGCACGTTAAAAACCCTTGTAACAACTCTGAGGGGTTCGTAAGTGGCCTGTTTCTATCCCAAATTCCAAATTTCTGTCCCTATACAATTTACCCTCATTTTCCAGTAGCCTTCGAAATTTTCCACCAATCATCCCAGTCGACCCTAAGTTACAGGACCTACCTATTGTATTTATTGTCAAATTGCTCTTGTCCTTAACATGCATGAAATATTTGCCACTGGACATTGAGCAAACAACAATCCTCAATCTACAGAAACACAATCTTTTGCCCCTACCCAACATCACATCATATCCTTTTTTTTCCGTGCAAATTGCAATCCCTTCATTCTGATGGATTCAAGCTAAAGTGTATTTTGCAGAATGTTTAAGCACATATCAGCTAAGGTGTGCATAGTTGTTGGCATGATACGGGTTATGTTCTTCTCATATATTTTATGATACTAAACCCCTAACGGGAGGGATTCATAGGCGGATCCAGGGGGGCTGTGGGGCCCGGCCCCCCCTTTGTGGGATAAATTTGGTTGATTATATATGGAATCACTGAAGCATGACTGGAGTGGCCCCCCTTAGGTCAGTCAGTGCCTCCCCCCCCCCCCTTTACAAAAAGTTCTGGATCCGCCACTGGGGATTGTACTTGATTTTCATATGATGAAGACATAATCTTTCAATTAGTTTAATTGAGGTCTGGAGCTGGCATGTCAGTAACTGCTAGTAGTCCTTTGTTCATTTATGTATCATTGTCATTTTGCTTAGTTTCTTTTGTTACCTATTCTGACATCGGACTCGGACTTCTTTTAAACTGAGTTTTACTGTTCGTATTGCTATGTGTTTCTTTATTATACATTGGCTAGAGGTATAGGGGGAGGGTTGAGATCTCACAAAACATGTTTAACCCCGCCGCATTTTTGCGCCTGTCCCAAGTCAGGAGCCTCTTGCCTTCGTTAATCTAGTATGTTTTTTAATTTTAGTTCATTTATATGTTTTGGAGTTTAGTGTGACGTCCATTTTCACTGAACTAGCACACAATTTTATTTAGGGGCCAGCTGAGGACCACCTCCGGGTGCGGGATTTTCTCTCTGCATTGAAGACCCATTGGTGGCCTTTGGCTGGGTTGTTGTCTCTTTGACATATTCCCCATTTCCATTCTCAATTTTATTTTATACTGTCAGGATTTTTATTTTAATTAATAATTTTTAAAAAAATATATAGTTATTCGAACTAGGTTTACTTGTGTTATATGTTGCACATACGTTGAAGTGTTTGTTCAAATACTCCACAGTTTTGGTCTAAATTTTAATGAAA